CTTGCTTGCTTGCTTGCTTGCTTGCTTGCTTGCTTGCTTGCTTGCTTTGCGTGCTTGCGTGTTTGCGTGCTTGCGTGCTTGCGTGCTTGCGTGCTTGCGTGCTTGCGTGCTTGCGTGCTTGCGTGCTTTGCGTGCTTTGCGTGCTTTGCGTGCTTTGCGTGCTTGCTTGCTTGCTTGCTTGCTTGGCTGCTTGGTGGTTTCTTGGTGGTTCCTTGGTTGCTTGGTGGTTGCTTGGTTTGCTTTGGGTGGGTTGAATGGTTGGTGGGTTGCTTGCTTGCTTGCTTGCTTGCTTGCTTGCTTGCTTGGTTGGTTGGTTGGTTGGTTGGTTGGTTGGTTGGTTGGTGGTTGGCAAACCAAATAAAGACGTGTAGGCAGTTGTCGATGGGTGTGTGCAAAAAAGATCTGCGACAACCTAACTTCCCACCTGTGTGACCAGCGACTTCGTCGGACAGTGTCGTGTGACCAGTCCTGTTTGGACAATGACGTGTGACCATTCTCCCCTGTGATCAGTCCAGTGCACCCAACCAACCGCCCACGACTTACCACACAAGTATCACACACAACGAGTTTTCTCGCCTTTCTCGATCATTCTTTTCGTTCGTGTTTCTCTCTTTTCCTTGGGGTTAAGAAAACATGTTTCAAGTCGAAAAAAAACCTTGCAATTCATCTCTTTTTGAGGTTTAAAACAAAACTTGGCAAATCAAGCAGAGCCGTTTTGGGGTTGAAAAAACTGTTGGGCGCTCTCGCAAGGTTTTTTTCGAGCTTGAGGTTGAAAAGAAACCTTATTGGAGTTGAAAAAACACTCGAGGTAGGAAAAACAATTTTTGTGTCGAAAAATCACCCAGCCCGCAAAAGGATAGCACGATTTTTTCCCTCGGGGCGTGCTTTGAGATCAGGCCTCGCATCGCTAAAATCCAAACATGAAGTCGAGTAAGAGCGATACAGAAAGATCTCTACAGGAAACCATACAAGAGAAAACGCAAAAACATGCAACTGGGACACAAATGCTGACTTACGCCCGGCCCTCAGATGAGGAAGAATTCCAGGTAGTGTTGCTTCAAAGTTGTTCACAGTCAAGTCCGTAAGAAACAAGTCATGTTCCTTTTCTAGACACTGCCGGTGTGGATGTTGTTTCTTGCAGCTACATTGCCAGAAAGAGACGTAAAGGATAGGACGAAGACGAGCCAGTTGCAGATCAACTGACCAGGAAGCACTCATCTGAACAATGAAACCGACCTCCATCACTACTACCATGTTGGTCGCGAGTGCCACAAATTGCAATGCGTTTGAAGTTCCTTGCAAGGAGTCCGCCTTGCGATTTACGCCTTTCGCCCTGTGGGTGACATATCATGCGCTTAACGGAGGCAGAGCTCTGGAATGGAGGGCTCGGAGGTTCACATACCTAGTGGCAGATGGAAGCAAGACACCTTGGTGCTGTAGCCTCACCACTTTTGTCACACGTCACAGAGAACCGAAAAAACAAATCAAGTTGCAAACAATGTTCTGCATGGATCTTGGATGGGGCTGTGGGTGGTGCGAAATGTAGCAACATTCTTTCATGGAAGGCCGATTCTACTTTCAGAGAATTTTGTCATGACACCTTGTGCGCAGCTCAAGCCCCACGCATTTGCACTGCTTGGCAAGCGAGGTGGCTGTCCGAATGGATTGTTCACCCCGTCTTCGACATTTCGCTCGGACACAAGCTGACATCATCAAGTCAGCAGGAAGGGCGCGCGAGAACTGTGAAATCGGACGGTCTGGGATAGGAGAGAGATATTTGTGGAGACGCTTGCGCACACTCCAATCGGAAGTTTATTGATTTGTTTGGTTTGTGTTTTGAAAGTGAAGGAACCTGACTGTAACACTGGCATGAGTGAGTGAGTGAGTGAGGGAGGGAGGGAGGGAGGGAGGGGAGGGAATAAGCGGGTGAGTGAGGGAGTGAGTGAGGGGGGGCAAAAGCGGCATGAAGAGGTATCATAGCGGAGGAGTGCGGGCGTGGGATTGATCGTAAGTGATTGAGTGAGTGAGACAAAGTGAGGTGAGGTGAGGTGGGGTGAGGTCAGGTGAAGTGAAGTGAAATGATGTGATGAGCGGGGGGGAGGAGGAGCGGGCGGGAGGAGGAAGGTAGCGCAGAAAAGACAAGAACCCTGCACAAAGATGTGGGAATAAGTTTTGTTTGAAAACATTGGTGTAGGCGCCATAATGGATGCAAAGTAACCGGTTCGATAGCCTAACGGTTGATGGGATATTGAAAGTCGCTTTAATAGCTGAATGGGGTTTGACACTTGTCAACCACACAGCAGTCGACAGCAGACATGACATGCGGAAAACAATCCGTGGAACCCCAGATCGCAAATTTTGCACAAAGGATGCTTGAAATTTGAAAACTTGATTGGGCTGATTGCCTTGCGCGGTTGTGATATTGCGCGGCCTGTGAGGAAATATGCGCAGAGCAAAAAGTGCAATGCACAAAACCCGCACTTGGGGTCATAATTTCCCGTGTCAAAGCAATGCCATTGAAGGTGAACCCCACTCTTGCATTCACCATGCCACGCATCTGCAGAAAACCATGTTTCCGGGATCATGCATCAGGATTTTTCGCAAGAAAAACATGCTCTTGTGATCAAAGTTCGGTTTGCAATTATGTGATATTTGCGGACATGCGGTGCTCGAAACCCAGAACTCATGCAATGTTCATGCACGATTTGATGCACGTGATCAAGTGTCAGAAGCAACACTTGGTTCATACCATTCATGCTTGTTGATATCAACCAAACAGGCTGCAAGAAATCTCGTATTTGGCCAGCCATGCCTTGGTGGTCTTCGACTCCTGCACCTGCACCAGGAGGGGCGTGATGATCAAAGGACGTTTTTCATTGTTTCCCAATGACTCAACTTGGATGACCGAATCTATACATGTATAATATATGCTTGTATCACATGACAGGAGCCAGTTGCATCAAGAAATCTCGGTTCAAACCAGCCGGCGCATGAGTTTTTGGCCATACGCTTTGGAACTCACTCGTGAGTTGCGCTGGCTGTGGCCTTCAGGTTCCTGCACCGGCTTAGGTCTTTCCTCGGTGGTGTTGGTTGGGATCCTGTGCTGTGGAGCAGGACTGTGCCTAGGCATTGGCCTCACCTTGCTGGTGGACTCTAATACCTGCAGGCGAGTTGTTCAGCACGCTGTTTGGGCCTTGGTATCCAACACTGCACCTCTCCAAGCTCCCAACGCCGGGCAAGCTCTTAGGCGGCGGCTGGGTGAGTACAGAAACAGTGCATGAACAATCCCCCTGACGTGGAGGAGTTGTCTCTACAACTTGGGGACCTCACTATTCACATCAGCCGATCCCCTGACCGACGCACAGCTCCCCAGACTGAAGAGAGAGACCCTGCAACAGCTAGCCTCTCCTCGTTCAGCGTGGTTTCAGAGTCCCCCTCACAGGATCCCCTCCGGGGGTGCCCAGGCACCTTCGATCGGTGCTCAGCAGGGCTATCAGAGAGACACCTTCACCCGGGACGACAGTGCTGGTGAACCCTGGTCTTGGGAGTGGGAAACAGCCCTACTTGCTGCACGGACTCCTGCCGAGTTCGAACGACTGGATCTGGGGCCGGTGCGAGCCTTGGTCTCGAGGCTGAGGGCGTGCGCCGGAGGCTGGACTCCGTTGGCGCGACTGGGTCGGGCTTTGCGTGCGGGTCTCATCGCACGTTCCAAGATCGAAGACAGGCCAGCCATCTACGACCTGGGCCCAGACATTCCGCTGGACAACAGGTTCTACATCATTGCTCGGGCATTCCGGGCGACCGGCTGGCTGGACGGATCACTATTCCACCTTCCTCGACGAAGTTCGGGGACCTCATTCACGGTTCCACCGTGACGTGGTGTGCCATTCATTTGCATCCAAGACAGAAGCGGAGGCCTATTGCATTGGTGCCGGGATATCATGGCCCGGACCTCTGCAGCGCAGGCAATGACAGCCGATGGAGTGCGGGCCTTGTACTAGGCCCGCGAGCCCCGGTCGGGGCTGCCTTCACTGTTCCTGCGCGTCCCAGAAGACGGAGATTCAGCTGCCTTGAGAGTGACTGCATTTCTGATCAAGCTACGAGCTGGAGGGTTTATGGTGGCCATCCCCGACTGCGAGGAAGCTGTACATTTGTTGCAAAGCCAAGAGCTGGGGGATGGGTCGGAGGCCGTTGCTTTGTTCCCAGCCACCGTGGTTATGGAAACAACTCGAGGCAGGGTGCTAGGCGAAGGGCAGGCCCTCCTGGCCGACATCGCCTGGGAGTTGGTGCATCTCTTCAGTCGTGCAAACCCTCTTCGTTCATCAACGCTGCCAGAAGTTGTGCGCTTTTCCTGCGATGGTCAAGCAGCTCGTCCTCAAAGAGCCAGTGTGGAAGCCGCGGCCGAGCAGTGGATCCACGAAGCCATGGACGAGGACACTGCAGCGGACTATGTGACAGTCCAAGGAGAGGATGGTGGCAGAGAGCCGGAATTGATGCTGGATGGAGATGTAGTAGAGGACCTACAACAAAGGGTCCGAGATCTGGAAAACATGCTGGCTCAGCAGTCGCGGACTCCCCTATACGAACTCTTCAAGAGAGTAGCCGACAGAAGGTGCTCGCGCTGGAATGGTCGCCTACCAGAGAATGAAGGGGGTGAAGGAGGAGGTCAAGAAGACTGCATCCCGGAGGAGCAGGAGGAGGATCCAACCAAGAGAAAACGGTTGGTGCTGATGCTTCCGCCCAAAATCCTCATCCGCTTGGGACTAGTGAAGGAGGGGGAAATGTGGCTGGTTGAACGAGCTCTCTATGGCCTACGACGAGAATCTCCCAAACTCTGGGGAGACTACAGGGACATTGAGATCAGCCAAATGTCCTTCCAGGCGAATCACATCACCTACGAGTACCAGCAGAGTTTTGCAGAAGAAAACCTGTGGCTGGCGCGACGAAAAGACTCCGAAGATGGGGATCGAGTGGAGGGACTTGCTTTGGTGTACGTGGACGATGTGATGTTGTTTGGCACTAGGGAAACTGTGGAAGGTGGGCTACAGAGTTTTAGAAAAACGTGAGAGACTTCCGAGCCTATACGTGGGTGGGAGAAGCAGAACCTGTTCGGTATTATATTGAGGAATGGAATTGAGCGAGCAAGGAGACTTCTTTGCCAATCAATGTTCCTACTTGAGGGAAGTGGTTCGGAGACATGGCATGGAAGACCTTTGCAGTGCCCAACTCATGAAAGAAGCTCAGGAGCCTGAAGACGAGCTGGATCGGACACCACGCCAGGTACGAGAAGCACAGCAGCTCGGTGGAGAACTCCTGTGGCTGGCTACGAAGACCAGGCCAGACATTGCCTATGTGGTCAGCAGGATTTGCTCAGCTACGAGCCGTGCGCCGAAGTGGGCGATTCAGACATCATCAGGCACTTGAATGCCACCCAGGGACTTGGCTTGTGGTATAGAAGGAATGCCAATTTCATCCTGGAGTCAGTCAGCGATTGGGTGGAGCGCCAGTGGCATGGAAGAGTTGCAAACAGCCTTCCTGCACTGTCGACAGCAGAAGCCGAGTTGATCGAAGTCATTGAAGCGGTGATCGTCGGTGACAGAATCGCGCGCCTGGTCGATGAAATGGTGAGAGATGTTCCAAAGTTCCTCAAGTGCGACAACACCGCAGCAGTGTCGATAGCAAGCTGCGCAACAGGAGCTTGGCGCACAAGGCGCTTGAAGGTGCGAGCTGCTCACCTGAAATGGAGGCTCGGGTCAATGGGACCTGAAGTACCAACCAGGACGAGAACTGATTGCGGACATTGGCACCAAGGCCTTGCCAGTGGCTAGAGTCAACGATCTGAGGCAGAGGATGGGAATGTAATTGGCAGCCCGACTCAGTTGACGAAGTCCATGAGGAAGACAAGGGTGTCGTCGCTCCATGAAGTTGGTGGCGAAGTACCACTTAGAGAAAGCCATGAAGATCGTTGTGGTACTCTCTGCGCTCCAGGAAGTCCAGGGAGCGATGGCTGAGCTTGATGAGAATGTGGAGGGTGACCACGTGCTGTACCTTCTCAGCGTCATGATGATGTTGCTGGGAATGGCGCTCGATCATGAAGGTCCTTCAAAAGTGTCGCAGCCGATGGAAGCCAGGAAACGATGAGGACCCCGCCATGATGAGATCGATGAGGTTGCAGTCGGCTGGAGCTTCATCGTCATCGAGGCCAACGGCACTGGGGGAAGAAGTCACATCATCCTCGCCGAGACCTACGGCGCTGGGGGGTCATCCGACTTCAGCACTGTTGAGGCCTACGAACAGGTCTGAGGGTCCCGTGGTGACGCCGTCGCAAGGCCCAAGAATGAGAGGAAGCTCCACCGCGTCTCGAGAAGAAGTTCGAGGTGGAGAACTAGAGCAGGCAGAACCCCAAGAAGAACTTCCGAATCGAGCTGATGGACACCATGTGATCACGCTCACGGGGCGAAGGAGGCGATTCAGGTCAGAGCCAATCTGGGAGGCTTGGTTCGCAGAGAGTGGACAGTGCTTCCATCGACGAGAGGACTGCAGAGGCTTGCGAAATGCAAATCGCAAGCAGGCGAAGAGCATCTGCGGAGTGTGCCAGAGGGCAACGCAGCAGCAGAGGCCATATGGCCGAACCACCTACTTGTATGAAGACCAGCTGATGAACCTCCACACGGATTCTCGCTGCGAAGCAGTGACGGGGGTCATGATGGAAATCCGCCAATGCAAAGTGTGCGGTGTGTGAAGCGGTTTGGGCCTACGGCTCATCTCAGAAGCTGTCTGATAGACGAAAAAAAAACCTATCAGACAGGGAGGAGTGCGAGTCCGGAAAGGGATGAAACGCACGAAACGAGAAGTGTACACTCGACAGCCGCTTTTAAGCTCAAAAATAAGGGCGCTTGACTTGCAGAAACAATACAACAGTTTAAAAATTGAATGTTCTGTTTGTAAATGTTTAGTTGGTAAATATACAATTAAAAGACATGAAGAGAGTCAAAAACATCAACTAAAACTGAAAGGTCAAGAACAAACAAAACAACACCAGCAAACAATAGACTATCTAAATGCTAATTTTCCATCCTACCAAGAATACTAACAAACATCTTAACAAAGAACACATTTGAAGTGGTGCACATCTGGTTAAAGACATAAAAGGTAGGTTCCGGGGGGGGTCTAGCATTAATTATTTGTATTCTTGCCCATGGCCGCCAAATTTCATTGGGACTATTTAGACAATGCTGCGCACAATTTGTCTCATGAACTTTAGCTGTGTTTGGCGCAAGAGGACCCACATCGGTGCAGGCAGAAGTGGTGGCTGCACCTTGGCATGTTTTTGCATGACATTTTTTGCTGTGTCAACGCATGCTTGATACTGTCATGAACATGGCAAACATTGCTTGCTTTATGGGTTGAATCATGCTTTCAAGTTGAAACGATACAAATTGCTAAGGTTTTGCCATCACCGCCTGAGGAGGTTTGTTTGACGTTTTTGTTAGTATGAAGGGTTTCAAGAGTGGTCATTGGTGTTTGCTGCTAAAGCAACGAGAACTTGAGACTGCCTACAACGCGATTCTGTTAGGCGCGGCCGCCACCACCTCCACCAGGCCCCACACCTCCGCGAATACCCGAAAGGCGGGCGCAAAATAAGTGGACAGGCGTGGTGATAGGCAAGTCGCAAACCTTCAATTGGCGGCCACAGGTTTTCAGTGCTGGGCAATCTTAGTGTTGCTGAGCTGCAACAGCGTCAGGTGGGACCAGTCTGGAAAGACATCACATCTATTGAATGTGATTTGCTTTCTAAAAACGATCGAGAAATGGCATTATCAACTGCCCTTCCATCAAGTTTGCCCGTGGCCCCCCATCTGCGGGAACATGCACTTGATACCTAGTCAAATCAGCAGAGTTTTGACAAAACTTTTGCACTCTAGCCTGTTAAGACTTTAAACATTAAACAATTACAATACAATGCAGGATTTTATTCCTTGAGGCGAATGGATCTGCGGTCGATGATCTTATTTTGGAAGAATCGGCTGTTTGAGTCCCAGGATGAGCCAAGGGGCTGTTGGTGCTTTGAAATCAAGTCATGCACCATAGCAGCTATGGTAGTTTCTCGTTGCGGACCAGGGTGCCTGTTGTAAAGGCAGCCAATTTGAGCAATCAGTTTCATAGCTTGCTTGGAAGTGGCCTGTGCTTGAGTGGTGAATGCTGTTTTCCTTCTTCAACCAGAGTGCGGTGTAAAGACCGCCAATGTGACAAGCGTGAGAGTATGGCCGCTTGAAGCTTGTGCAAGGACAAAGCAAAGTGAAAGATGTGGTGGTACAGGATACATCAGGACACATATAGTGACCTGCTTAAAGATAGAATATTTCTCATTGGTTTTTTTCGAATGAAAAAATATTTTTCTTTACATCCGCCAAGGGATAGAATATTTTTTTTTAGAATATTCCCAAATGATATGCTATCCCCTTCCGGACTATTCTATCTCTTTCCGCGATAAGCAACGCGTGCAAGAAAGAGTTTCTCATATGTGCAGCAAGCCCGGCCCAAGACAGTTCATGCAAATAGGGAGCATGAGCCCGACTGTGGCCATACTTGCTGCGCAAGATCACTATGAGACCTGCGGGTATCCAAGTGATGAGAGGGGACTCCAAAGAGCTATGAGCTTGGCTGCAGTACCGGCAAAGTCTATTGAGCGATGCGTCAAAGCAAGGTTGGAGCAGCTTTGTCGGGAAGATTCGGAGGAAGCACGGGGGAAATGTACAATCAGGGTAAGAGAATGATCTAGTAGGTTTCAGTCGCGTATGTAGACCCCGATGTTCCAACAAATCCAAATAGAGACCTCTATCATTCTCTATCTGTACGGGGGATATGCCCTGACCTTGGGAGGACAGCCGCATGGCAACTGCAAAGGTTCTTCAGGCATGGAATGTGCTCAAGGGCAGCGAGCGATTTCAGTACGATGCGGAGTTCATGAAGCGGGCAGCTGAGGAGCTGGTTGAGTAAAGCAAGGGGGTGGAATGCAGATTTTCAGAAATATTCTATCTTTCAGCAGGTCACTATATATAGAATACATGGAGGGAGGGAGGGAGGGAGGGAGACGGAGAGACTCAGATGCATCATAGAAAAAACAGCAGGCTGGCATCAAACTACGAGCTCAAGAGGAGGCACGTGCTCGCCGTGCAGGAGGTGCTGGTGAAGAGCGACCACCAAGTCCTCCCCCTTTGCCACCACCGGCAGAGGAGCCTCCAAATGATGAACCTACCTCTACGGAAGTACCTCATGTGGAGGTGAGCAGCCGCATGAAAGTTCACAAGACTGTAGTCACAGTCAGCATTGACAAAGCCTCGCGTAGATTCCTCGTAAGCACCTACGGGAACTCCCAGTTCGCCATGGTGGCAGCGAGTTTCTATGAGCGATCCGTGGACAAAGTGCTGAAGGATTTTGATGCGGTAGGAAGGAAACCAGAAAGGAGGCACGAGCTCTTGGTTCAGTGCGGCTGGCCACCTGAGAAAGATTCCAAGAGAAACATCGCCAACCAGCGCCGTTTCATTTTGGAGCAAATGTCCACAGGCAAAGTAGACTGGCTGGAGCAGGACCTGATGTCCCAATTGCTGGGTACAATGCTTCCTCAGGTGCAGCATGGTCAAAACCCCCAGAACTCCATATACAGACCCTACAACCAGGGGCAGCAAAACTGAGGGTTACTCAATGAAACTTGGGTTATGTATCTATCTTTTGCACACAGGAACTGATTAGGAATACTCCGGGCTGGAGATTATATAAATATATATATATATATATCGGGGGCCCACCTCACACAAACTATGCCCTCCATCTAGATGTGTGCCCTTTCAGGTAAAGGCCACGATGACAAGCGGCCCCTTTGGCTTTGCAGTCTCCTGGCAAGGGGAAAACCACCAGATGACCAAGCACGTCAAGTCTTTCCAAGCTGGGATATCTTGGCTCCGAGAGATGGAACAGTCCAAGAAGGAGATTTCCTTTTTGAAAAAGACTTCAGATTTAAGAGATAGAATATTTTGTAAGGAAAATGCTGTGTGGACTCCAAGATGTCTGAAAATTTAGGAGTTTAAAGAAGTTTTGTGAACAGGTAGTGAATTTAAAGGAAATTTGAGAAGAATTTGACCACCAAACCATCTAAAAACTAGATAGCCTTCTACAATTTTCTGGTCTCCCCCTGGCTCTGCTTCTGTTCCCTTAACAGGGAGACCAGGGGTGACCAGCGGGGTCTGCGAGATATGTGTATGTGTATATATATATATATATCATATACAGTATGTGCATTATATGTGCCGCGGAGGATGGCTCGCTGAGCAAAAGCATGGCCAATTTGAACCTTCACTCCAAGGAGGTCTTGGCGAAGGAAAAGGCCATTGCTACCATGGCTAAGCGTACTTCTGACGACTTGCAGGATTTGGCACAAACAGGGACAAAGAATGCTCTTTCAGACAACCTTGAGCATGCCAAAGACTTGACGGCGTCTGTTCTTTGTGGTCCTACTTTATCAAGCTCCTCCCTGCCGGCAAGCTGCTTCAGACTATACCGTGGCATGTTGCGGAGATTTGAAAGCATCGTCAGTGGGAAGCAAGCTGGCCTGGAAACTCATGGAGTTGGAAGAAAAATCGCTCTCCTTGGGGGCACATCAAGCAGTATCATTGAGGCTGTCATTATTCATGGCTCAATTTCCGAATCGCTTGACCATCCTGAGTTGGCTGAACGCTGGAAAAGCTCTTGCTTTATACCTGTGGGTTTGGTGATTTGGGAAGCTGAGAATGCTGATGAGTCCGAGCAGCCAAGTATGTACAAGGACCTGCTGATCGAGCTCAAATCCCCGAATCCGGTGCTGCTCTTGATGGTGTTTGGGAAGGCTTTGAAACAAAAATCATGGGAGCTGGCCTTTCCAAGCTCAGGATCTTCTACAGACCTACCAGAGTTTCGCGAGGTCCATGTGAACACCGATGGTGAAAACCGGAGGAAAAACGAGAAATATGTGGTATGCGACATTCTCAACCTTGGGGTGACCCTCTGTGATCAGGCTAGCACTATGATTCAGGCTGCAATTTGCCAGCAGGTGAAGACTTCTTTGGAAGCGTCTGCTGAAAAAGCTCGGATGGACAATGACAAGAAACAGACCTACTTCTTGTACAAGGTGCCGGCCGATGGGCTTTGCTTCTGGCATTGCATTTGTGCTGGAAAAGATCCAGGGAATTGGTGTTCTATACCACGGAAAAGCTCTGCTTATGCCCAGCACCCCTCCAATGTGAAACTGGAAGAAGCCCGAGCAAAAGCACTGTTCCGCTCAGTAGTTGATTTGTCTCGGCACTGCGGTGATGAGACTTATGCAAAGGCGGCAGATCTGAAAGAAAGATCTGGTGTGGTAGACGTGTCCGATGTGCCCTGGATTTGCAAATTGCTTGGTGTCAAGATTCGAGTTACTCTCCAACCCGAGGCCGGGGGTGCACAAAACGTGTTTTTGTCATTATACAGCCCCATTCCTTTCTCTGCAAATATCATATTTCTACAAGCCTCTTTTTAATATATTTATAATTTATATATATATATATACGCTATATGTGTTTATACTATTTATGTATATATATGTATATCTATTGTATCTATATATATATACAAATCAGCAGCCTAAGAGCAAGTGCAAAAACAGGTGCAAGAAGCTCTTGGCAACGATAATATTCCAAGAGATTGCAACTATGGAGATGGAGATGTACGCTTTCACCTCTACTACCAGTGGCAAATGAGCAGCGAAGATCCAACTCACTCCTTTGGTCACTGGAACTTTCTTTTGCCACACGAGGTAGGCAATGATGGAAGGAGACCCAAACTTCTATTGTCTCAGCAAGCACCGCCGGGGCCGACGAGCCTGAACTACACAAACCCACAACTGCTGCATGTGCATGAACAAGCCCAACAAAAACATCATGAGCAAGTCCAGCAAAAACTGGAAGATTTGCCGCTGGTAGTCTGCATTCCCCGCCAGGGTGTGAAACAAACACCCTCAGCGGCAAAAGCAACCGCAACCGTACAACAAAGCATCGAGCAAGCACTATTCAAAGAGCCCTCCCAGCAGGTACATCAAGATCATCAAGCAAAACACGAAGCAACACCTGCAGAGCCAACAGAAACAATGCAGCAAGGCAGCGGCATGGAGGAAGCATCCTCCCAGCAGGTACCTGAAGCAAACACCAAAGCAGCACCTGCAGAGCCAACAGAAACAATGCAGCAAGGCAGCAGCATGGAAGAAGCACCCTCCCAGCAGGTACCTCAAGCAAAACACGAAGCAACACCTGCAGAGCCAACAGAAGCACTTCAGCAAGGCAGCGGCATGGAGGAAGCATCCTCTCAGCAGGTACCTGAAGCAAACACCAAAGCAACACCTGCAGAGCCAACAGAAGCACTTCAGCAAGGCAGCGGCATGGAGGAAGCATCCTCCCAGCAGGTACCTCAAGCAAACACCAAAGCAACACCTGCAGAGCCAACAGAAGCACTTCAGCAAGGCAGTGGCATGGAGGAAGCATCCTCCCAGCAAGTACCTCAAGCAAAACACGAAGCAACACCTGCAGAGCCAACAGAAGAAATTCAGCAAGGCAGTGGCATGGAGGAAGCATCCTCCCAGCAGGTACCTCAAGCAAACACCAAAGCAACACCTGCAGAGCCAACAGAAGCACTTCAGCAAGGCAGTGGCATGGAGGAAGCATCCTCTCAGCAGGTACCTCAAGCAAAACACGAAGCAACACCTGCAGAGCCAACAGAAGCACTTCAGCAAGGCAGCATAGCAGAAGCATCCTCCCTGCCTGAAGGGGATAAACAAAGGTTTTTGGGAGCATTGCAAAGGCATAAGGTCAAAATGAAGGATGGCAAGTTCTTGGGGCTTCTTGTTCAGCAGAAGTATGCTGAAAGATTCACTCGCTCTTTGGAATCACGGAAATGCTTTGAGATAAGGAGCACGCCGCTGAAATTTCTCAGCCAGGGAGATGCAGTTGTATTGCTTAGCACAAG